GAATAAATTATTTAATCATTTATATATTTAATAAATTGACACATTAAATCATCATAGATGCACATTTGATTAGTTACATTATGTATTTCTCTGATGGATTATTTTAATCTTAAATGCTGTGTGTTTATTAGCCCATGATTAACAGAAACAACGGCTTGAAAACATCCGTTTGCATCAAATTAATCTATAAAATGTTTCATACTCAGTGAACCTAGCTACTAAATAAATTGACTTTCAGAAAAATATTGTAATGTATTGAATAACTGTAAATATTTTGGAATCTGCATGAAGTTAATCAATACTTGTTTATCAACTGCTTTTTGAAATGTGCTTAATTAAGCAATTATATCTTTATTTAGCTTCATTATGTATCATTTAAATGATTGTACAAGTAGCAATCATAAGCTGGGCGCAATAACTATATCAGACTGCGTTGAATTAACAAGAATATTTATGGCCTTCATTTCCAAACAGGTGGAATAAGGGAAAAAAAACAATGAGATATTAAAAATAGTTTGATGGAAAAGTTTAACTTAACACTGTTTGTGTTAACAGAGGAGAGTTTCTAAAGTCTGTGCATTAATAGAGGCTGTTAGATGTCTGAGAGAGAGGAGAGAGTCTGTGTCTAGTTTCCTGGATATCAGTTCTGGTTTTATCCAATCTATACATTATGGTTTATATGTGATACAGTCAGATTATAAAATGATAGGACTAGATGAATTTCTAACTGAGAGTATAGGTTAATTGTTTATTGTTTTAATTAGAATAGCTTCAGTGACAGAAAAATCACTAAAGAACCTTCATTTTTTTAGAGCAAAATGGAAAAAGAAAGGAAAAGCTCCTGTGGAAAGTTATACAGCATGAAAGCATCTAAAGAAGATATATATTTTTTTGTTCTGTTAAAGATATTTGCAGGATTACAATAGCTATATCATCAGTTGCTAAAAGCAGACGATTCTTCATAACTGTTATTGATGAATCAAGGGCCCAGTGGCCTAATGGATAAGGCATCAGCCTCTGGAGCTGGGAATTGTCCCACCTGGGTCGAATCTGTTTAATCTCAGAATGCTGCACATTAAAGTGGAATTGAGGTCAGTCTACCAGAAAGAAAAAACATCCTTCAAAGACATAAGGCTCATTTTAAAGGAAACATATTTTTAGGAGTTTCTTTAAATTACCAAAGCTTTAGAAACTCTTTCAATAACTTGAAAATAAATATTTACATTATTACAATATTTACTATTGAGGATAGTTTCCAAATTTTTCATCTGTAAAAAAATTCTTTATATGTTGACTCAGAGTCTATTAATCTACAAATATTCATCCTTTCTGACCCGAACATTATCCCTAGCTAATTTAAATCATCAGTTTTTAGGATTATCAGAGTAAGAGATTGATCCAGGTATGAGGACAGTACCAGTTAATCAGTCTGAGCGAAACGGAAATTATTTATAGACCATGGAACCGCCAATGACCGACCCATATGATTTATTAATGGGTCAAAGTCAAGTAAACCCACCTAATTAGTTTTAATAAGCTTTAAGTTCCCATATAACGCTCACTAGCAGCTCTTTCCTCTTAGCTTCAAAACCTTTCAAGAGGAAACAAAAAAAAAGCCATACAATGCACTGTAATAAACCTTGCTTCTTAAATTAGGTGTGAGAATTAAAGACGCTGTCTATGAGGTCAGCTTTGAGATTTCTGAACTTTCTTGGACCAGGCAGAAGAATTTAATATATCTAATCACTGAGAAGAAAATACAGAAACGTGCAACTAATGAAGAGATCACATTTTTACCAGAGTTTAAATGTTAAAATAAGAGTATTTAATCTAACAGCGCTGTACATTTTATTCAGCTTGCTTACCAAACAAAATTATGCTTATATAATAATTAAGATAAAGAAGAAGTTTCACCATTTTAAAGAGACTTTCATTGATTATATCTGGGTTAAATAGATTTGCGACTTTACTGTCTGCCTAATTATGGGTACAGTTTAAAATATCCAAAGATCCTAAAATATCCTTAATATATTTCTGAGAAAGACTTTATGATAAATAATCAAAATTGAAGGATTTTTGCATCTCATACTATATGTCACATTTTCACTAATTTAGATTAAATAATGTTTAACCAAGATGATGATGTGTGACTCATTAAGAACAGCGCATCAGGAATATGTGTGTTTCAAAGGTAATAAAACATAGATAAAGGCATGTAAGAACCAGATTTCATATTTCTTGTAATTCATAAGTTTTGATCTCTGAAGCACATTTGAATAATGCCCTTGCATTTGAAACAGATGATCGATTACATAAAATTTTACTCTTAAGAAATCTCCCACAGTTTCTGAAACGGTAAAGAGCCTAGACGTCTACAGTAAATATTTAAAAACACATAGGCATTCAGTCTTCATAGATGATGTGCATGGAGATATGCACATATTAACACATACATGCTGTTTTTATGTAAGGTATAGTGGATGATCTTCCTTTTATATTTCATTTTGCAGGGGTTCGTCTTATCTAATGTTTGTCCCACATACCAGTCAATGTGATGTGCTCACCTAATGCCAGTGCTTTTGTCGTTCAGGTGCACTTCTTGGATTTACATATGAATTGAACTTTGGTCTTAGCCGTTTATTGTAGCTCCACTGCTCTTGCTATATACATTAAAATTCATCAACAGTTACAACAAGTGAATCGTCTTACAAAGTTTGAAGAAGAGGAAGAAGGCATCAGAAGAAGGAAATAAATTCAGAGTGTATTTGAGAGCAGGTAAGATGGTGTTGCTCAAGCTCAGCTACTGAAAAAGCGACAAGGCCTTTTATTATCTAAATCCCCCCTCCCCCAAAAAATATATTAAGGTTCTGCATGATATTGAAGTGTACATACATTGATACATTAGACTGGTTTTATTGTAATTTAGCTGCAGAGCCACACACCTTTGCCTTCTACCTCATTAAAAACAAGACTAGTTCTTCAAAGCAGTAAGTCTATAATTTTCCTTTTTAATGTTAGTATACTAGTATGGAAAAAAGAAAACACTGTATATTTGCACTGATAATGCATTATCTATTAAAATGTCAAATTAATTAGGTCACTATTTGAAAGCTAATTGCTGCCCCCGTCTGTTTGAGAATTATTTATCAAAAGCCCATTATATCCACATGGAAACAACAAATGACCATAACTAAAAGGCATAACTAAGACAAAATAAAAGACAGTGTCTGATAAAGCACCTCCTGTTTAGTTTTTTTTGTCAATTCACAAGTTTAGATTCCAAGGTTAAAAAAAAAAAAGTTGGAAGAACAGTTATCAAAATTTGTCCTTTCATTATACCATTTAATCCCTGGAAATGGCAATTTAAATTCTGATTTTTTAAAAACTTTTGTCTAAGTTTTGTATGCATTCTCTTGCTTTCCTAGGTTTTGGTAGCACCAGCAGCTCTGGCTTCAACTTCAGCAACCCTGGCATCAACCAGTCCGCTGGCCTGACGTTTGGCGTTTCAAACCCGTCAGCCACCACCTTTGGCACGCCCCTTCTCCAGCTAAAGAAGCCTCCTGCTGGCAATAAAAGGGGAAAGAGATAGAAAGAGATTTAGACAAGAATAGTACTGAGCATCTGACCAACTCGTGGCTTGTAGCAAGGAAAGCCTGTGCTAGAGTGCTTAAGTATAAAAAAGACGGAGGCGGTACACAGCCAGGCAGACGAGGTCCGAGCCAGCCCCCATGTCAGAGGATGAAGAGAGCACATACAGTTAGTCCCAGTCAGAGAAACAGGACTACACTAAAAAACAGGCTGGGCTCAAATATCTATAAACAAAGGTGTTGATTGCAGCAGCACAGCTGATATTTCTCTCCATGATGGTGTCACAGCCAAACAGTATTAGACCAGATGAAGCTACTATGAGAAAGAGCAGAGAGAGCGTAACATTACAGATTAAAATAACTAATTCTGCAGACTAGG